GGGCATTTTTGTTCGTGTGCGGCACTCAGTGCAATGGCCTGTATTCAGGCAGGAGAAGGTCACTTTGAACATTTCCTCTGATATGTGACCAGAGTGTTCCAGCTGGCGTTACAGATGTATTCAGTATAACAGTGCAACAGTGTTGGGAGTGTTGGATTGCACTGATGTTACCAAAAGGTCGGATAATTCTGTAATTATGCATTTCCGGAACCATGCTGTTGTACACTTTTTTCTTCTCTCTATATGAGGAGTCCGATCCTGAAGTTTTGATACACTCTGTATGTGGACTTCACCTTGAGAGAGGGATATTGGATAAAGTATGAAGTCGAAAACAGTGATATCTCACAATAATTAGTACAGTCAGTTTTATCGCCCTTCTCATAAATTGGTACAGTAATAGACTCCTACTGATTGGGCAGTTCTCCCTTATTCCAAATAGAATTAATGAGTTTATGGATCTCAGACCATAATGTTTTACCTACTGCTTGAATCAATTCTTCTGGAATTTGATCACTACCTGACACTTTATATATTTTCAACTCTGCAATAGCAATTTCAATCTCAAAAGGACTAGGTGTGGGTACTAACGGTTCAGTTGTATGTATTTCTATCTGCCTAACATCACTGGACCTATGTACATTCAGTAACGAAGAGAAGTAGTTCTTCCACCTATTCAAAATGTTATGGGACTCAGCAAGCAGGCCATCATTCTCATCCCTCACTAAGTTACTTCTACATTGCTAGCCCCTCTTAAACTCATTTATTCCTTTATATATTTCTCTAATGTTCTTGTTCTTACTGTTTGTCATAAGCTCACTAATTTGGTCTTCAAGATATACCTTCTTTTTATTCCTTAAATGCCTGCTGGCCTCGCGTCTTATATTGTTGAGATTATCCTGATTTATTTTGCATGGATCCTGTAACCACTGCAATTTGGGTTATTTCCTTTGCTCTTATAATTTTGGTGCCACCTCTGTCCCATCTGACCTCTGGTACTTCCACTAAATCTAACTTATAATTTGGTATGTCTTTCAAAACTGTCATGAGCAAACATGCCCCGTACAGACTTTTTACATTCCACATATCAAATTTCATGTCCATTTTCCTTCACTTAGGTCATTTATCAAGAGAATCTGCCCAAGCCTGGGTCCCTTTGCATTATTTCTTACAAGCTTATTTTTTCTGACAAGGAGGAGTTAGCCCCATGCTGAACCTCTCCGCTGGAGGATCACCCCTTGTCGGCTGTCCGCGACTGTTTATTCAGTATATTTCCAGCTACCCTCCATATCTAGAGGCCCTCTCTTCCATTTGCAACCTGAGGACACACCATGCCATGGTGACAAGAGACTCACCTAGCATGGATGTGAATGTATTGATTTTTATTAAACATGAAATTAATATTATGGGTGAAGTTTTTTAATTGTTACCTCAATTTTGAGGTTTTGTATAGTCCTGTCTGGGGAACACATTATCACATCCTCAATTTTTAAACTAGGGGCTTCATCTGAGATCCAGTACTTCGCTGGTTGCAGAGCAAGGAATATTGTTATTTGGTTTATTATTCTTTATTTAAATACTTCAAAATGTGTAAGTGAATTTAATGTAGTTTTGTCATGTATGTAGCAGCTAACACATTTGTTTGGTTCTTGAACTAACAGGGTTTTTCTATATGTGGAACTAACATCACAGTTCTGTTGGTGCTGTCCATAATGTATAATCGTCAACTTAAAAATGACTCTTGTCTGTCATGCCTGAATTGAGGCAGCTGTGAGACAATTGCTTTTTGGCTGCTGTAAAATGATATGTTTGCTTTGTCCCAGCGTTTATTGTCAGTATATGTGACATTAATCAACCTTTAAGAAAATGTGTATATACAGGGTGACTCCCGGGAATAGGACATTTTTCAGATGAATAGTACTGAGCCCATTTTCAACTTAAAGCGAATTTATTAACAGAAAATTACAGGTCAAGATTTGCCATTTTATGTACCTAGTCTAGTTGTGAAAAATAACGTCCTGCAGATGACGCCCTTCTTCCTGAATGCAATTTTTCACCCTCTGCTTGAAGTCATTAAAAACTCGGCCCAACATCTCTTGATCAATCAACTGCACATCTCCACGAATGACATCCTTCAACTCAGTTAAAGAGCGGGGCTTATAGATGTAGACACGGCTTTTGAGGTACCCCCACAAGAAAAAATCACAAGCCGATAAATCAGGAGACCTGGGGGGCCAAGGCACATCACCGAAACGGCTAGTGCTGAATTTCTATCTCTGTAGCTCATGTTTAAGCATTGGAAATGCTCAAAAATAACACAGGTCAAGGTCTGAGCTGTAGGGTGGGTGTTCTTCAGGAGTCCCACCGATGTCTGCTAGTGTCTGCATCATCACATGTGCATTATGTGTCAGTGTATTATCTTAAAGCAGTCCACCATTTTATCAAGAACGCCAGTCTTTTTTTCTGAATGTCACCCCTTAAATGAGTTCTAAGTGTATTTGCATAGTAAAGACCATTCACAGTTTACTTCAGATGTAGCAACTGCCAAAGACTTGTGGCTTTTGAGTTAAGGACAATAACAGCATCACTTTTCTATTATGGTGCTGTGTGAAATTTCCTTGAGGGGGCCAAATCCTTGTTTCTAAACAGTTGACTGCTGTTTCGATTCTGGGTCATGATGTCATAACCAAGACTCCAACACAAGTGATTATTGACAATAAAAGTTCAGGGATTTTGTTCATCAAGAAGAATATTTAATTTTCAGATCTCCGCACACTTTATTTCTGCTGATCACTGAAGTCACGAGGTTTCCACCTTGCACACACTCAACTCATGCCCCAGTCCACTGTAATTATATGATGAATCCTTCTCAGTGAAACATTTAAACTGCCAGACAGTTCTCTTAATGATAGTCTTCTGCCCTCTCTCAGCAGTTGTTCAGCTTTGTCAATATTCACATCTGTGACAGCAGTGCGTGATCTCCCACTTTGAGCATTGTCAACCACTTGTTTATTTCCATCTTTAAAATGCTGCCACCATCAGAGAGCTGTAGCTCAGCTCACTGCTTCTGTTTCATATGCATTCTCTAATGTCTCTAATGTTCACTGCTTCTTCCAAGCCTCACACAAAGTTCTCTTGCACATCTCTGCCTTAAAACATATGAAATATAGTTCTGCACTACCATTGCAAAACTTTTTTTACACGGGATTGTACAAACACATACACACACTGTGGAAAATGGCACCACTTGCACTAGTAGCTAAACACACTTGAGGAAGCAACAAAGTGCATGTGCTATTTTGATAAAGGCCAGAGAAGATGAACAGCATTGCCATTCTCAGTACTTTTGAAATACCCCTCATATTTTAGTAACCTGTTATTTTTGTCTCTTTTTAAGACTGATGTGTGCAGGATTGCAGGATTGACACACATGCAGTGCTTTCATGCACAAAACATAGGATGTACAATTTAAGGTTCTCAAGGCAGTGACTGTGAAGACTTTGTCTTGTGAGATGTGATGCTGTGTGTTTTGATAGAAAGGTACTGATGCTTCAGAGGAACTTGCTGTCTTGATCTTCGTGATTAAAGAATAAGTTGCATGGGAAAACAAGGGTCCAGATATGACAAAAGGAAAGAGGGATGTGAGTTGCCTGGTGGGAGATGGTAGCCCTTAATATGGCAGGGAAAAGCATTGAGAAAATTTTTTTTAGGAGGAAAAGTAGTAAGAAGAAAGTTTTTTTGAAGTGGAACTGTAAAGGGGTCTGTTGGCAGTTCTTATACTTGTACCCTCATTTTCCTGTGTGGCTTACTTTTCTACCCAAAAGATGGTGACATCTGGTTCCTGTGGAACACTGATTCCTTTCTACTATATGACATAGCATGACATCCCAGGAGACAGTAATCTTCAAAAGGTACATAAAAAATATGTTTCTTTTAATCTCAGATTGGTTTTGAGAGAAATTTGTTGATGGAATTTGTTTCCAAACATAAAAGTACTTACACAGATGCTTCAAGTATGTGTGCTCCCATATTACTGAAATTCAAGTTATGGAATTTTGCCCTTACAGAAGCGATAAAGCGTAACCATAAAGTTTGCAATATGAGCCAGGAAATCAGCCATAATAAAAATTTCAGATGTAATTTTTTTATACAAAAAATGCAAAACAATGTCGGCTTTTCAGGAAATTAGTATTTGCTAAGAAATTCAGGCTGGTGTTGGTAGCCGAGTGGTCTAAGGCATGCACTGTCTTCGCTCGCTCGGAAGCTGGGATCGTGGGTTCGAATCCCACTCAGGGCATGGATGTTTGTGTGCGTTTTTCTGTGTTTGTGTACAGATAGAGGCCTTGCGACAAGCTGATCACCCACCCAAGGAGTCCTACCATATGTCTAAGATCTAGTAAAACCAAAGTGAACGGAGAGTTTTATGGAGGTAGGCCTAGGCCCAAATGAGGGCTGTAGTGCCAATGGAAAAAAAAATTCAGATTGCATATGGGCATATGTTGGTAATGTCACAGGGTGGCTGGTAATGTGGTTGCTATTCCCATCTTGTATTAGACTGTGCTGTGTATTTCCTTTATTCATGATATCTGGAAAGAGGCTGTCAAGCACAAGTGCAAGCAGCACACCCAAAAGAGCCTAGAAAGTAATTACAACCAGTGTAGAACTATATGAGATGGAAATGTGTTTTTATTACAACTGTGGACAAAAGATATTTTTGTAATAATGCAGCTGCATTTACTAGAGTCGCTGGAGTAGGAGGGTTCATGTTATTGAATTCCATGATATGGAAGAATTTTCAAAGATACATTCTTTCCTTAATGCAGGGGCATGCTGCACATGTGTGTGCTCATTTTGGTTTTGTTATATAGAATTGTACCTCATGGATCTTTTGTCCAGATTTGATGATACAGGAAAGAGTTCATATCAAAACCTGGACCCTTGTATATATAGATCGTTTCTCCTATAAGGTGATGCGGATGTTACACAGATGTCTGATGTTCTAGACTATGCTGTTGGATTTGGTGGAAAGTTTGGTGTTCAAGCAGACCGTCAAGATAAGTCAGCTGTTGGGTGGGACCACCATGAACAGCTGCATCAGCATGAGAGTCAGACTGATCACAATAAGGTAAAAATGTCTGAATCCTTCAGAATTCCCAAGCTTTACCTCTGACAGGGTCAAAACTTTGTGAAAATGATATTATATTTAAGCATCCTGTTACACTCACACAATATATATGAGACAAACTCATGAGAAAGAACTACAATTAAATTGTTGCACTTAAGACGGAGTTTGTCTCATATATATTTGTGAAAATGGTAAATATCAAGACCCCACTAGATTAAATTATATGCTGTTGTGCCTGCCATCATCCTTATCAATTATCCATTCAGAATTATGGAACAGTTTGAATCTTGAAATCAGGTGCTGACAATTATTTGTTTTACTCCCAAGCCCAGAGAAGAGATTTTTTAGTTTTAAACAAGAACTCTCGATATCTTCATATACTGCATTTAGTATAGTAGAATATATATAGTAGATTACTATCTTCTGGGATGTAATAATCCATCTAAGGCAGAAGACTGATGTAGCAGGATCATCTGAAATGTTGGTAACTGCCTTCAAGACTACACAGCATTACATCCAAAAGACAGCAATCTTGTTAGATTTTCTTATGGGCACGTTTTTTTTGCAGGGATTTGGCGGTAAATTTGGGGTGCAGAGAGATCGAGTAGACAAATCAGCTCATGATTTCAATGAACAACCTGAAAAGGTTGGCACAAACTATGAGAAACTGAAGCCTGACATAGGTGAGTTTGAAGTACCATTGATTGTTGCCCTGTGTGCTAAGTTACATGAATGCATAGAGCTGTGTCTCTACTCCCCCATGCTTCTTAATGGCACATCGCTTAGTTAAGCACAGGAGAACTTTACTGATTACTGGCTTTCCCTTTTTCATTAAAGATTTGGCTTTACTTAATCAGGGTCTACCAAACCATCGAACCTTCGTATGAAATTTGAAAACCTTGCAAAGCAGGGTGAAGAGGAAGCAAAAAAGAAGGCAGAGGAGGAGCGAGACAGACGCAAGAAGCAGGAGGACTTAGAGGAACGTGTGGCACGTGAACAAGAGGAGAAACGATTGAAGAAGCAGCAAGAAAAGGAACAGGAACAACAGAGAAAACTACAGGAGCACAAACTTTACCTTGAGCAGACTATGTCCCAATCCATATCTGAGCCTCAACAGGTGAGCTGTCAATTGCTTCTCTCTGTTAGCAGTGATTCACAAATGTTTAGCAGTTCATGAACCCACTCTAGAAAAACTGTGGCTTATCTTAACATATTCACCATCAAGTGGGGTTGTTTGCCACTGTGTATGAAAATGTCATTTTCTTGTACAGATGTCACTCAAATATAAAGAAATTACGAGTATAACTGAAAATTGTCAAAGCTGGAAAGGCCCAAAATATATTGCAATTGTTTATTGTTTTTCACTTGTTCTCTTCCATTTCTGTTTCAAATGTAGGAAGTTCAGAAGTCCAGTTGTTGTGGAAAATGAAGTATTTCAAGTAGAGGAACTGTCACATGTAGAATCATTACTCCTAGATGCAGTTTAATGTGAATCATTAATTTATTGAAGGTGGTTCAACCTAAGCCGCAGGCACGCTCTTCTATTCAGGAAGATTCAGTATCACCACATTCTCCAGTTGTGCCACAATCTACAGTTGTACCACATTCTCCAGTTGTGCCACAATCTCCAGTTTCAAATGTTCGGTCGGAGAGTCATGTGGTACAGACGCCACCAACAGAGGAAGAAGATGAAGAAATAGATGAAGACGTGGCTGGAGCATTTGATTCTGTAGAAGATACTGGCTACTCTGCCATTGCACTGTATGATTACCAAGCAGGTGGGCGTTTTCCTGATAACACTCACAGAGAACTCTGAGTGTTCTTCATTTAATATTTACAATTTCTTTATTAAAACTGTCACAACACAACTAAACTGAGGTCAGTGCCAAGTTGGCTCTGCTACATGTTTTGGCTACCAAAAGCCATCATCAGGCAAGTACATGGCCAACACCACTGAACTGAAGTACTAGAAAAATTGGATACAATAATATTAATTATATTAAAATACTTGGCATAAAAATACAACAAATTAGACCATATAAAACGAAATTATAGTATAAAACAAGATTTAAATTCTTCGAGTGATGCTTTACATCATCGAGTCAGTCGTTGGTTTTTGCGATTTTGTTGTATTCCCGCAGACAAATTGGAGTATTCTGTATTTTGTGTATATAAAACTGTTTTGTAGGCTTTTGATGTAGATGTAGTAATATTAATGTTAATTATTTAATCGGTGCCTCATCTTACAAAGTATTGACCATTCTGTAGGGAATGTAAACGACGACTTAATATTTATTTCCTACCTGTTTAACAATACTGTCGGTAACTTGGAATAGATGGCATCAGGTGATTCAGTGATGATGAATAATGAATTGGAAAGGATGTGGAAGGAAGTGGTCATGCCTGTATTTAAAGTACTAGTACTATCCCACCATTTGCATGGAGGGACTGAAGAAAGCCACCAAAAGCTTCAGTCAGGATAGCCAGCATCTCCTGAATACAAGCATTACCTCTTGATACACAGCCAGACTTTGGCTGATATGTTAAATTAATTCTTGAAAAAAAATTCTGTAGATGAAGTCATGTTAGTTGGACACAAATTTCCTGTAAGAAATAATATGTCGTGGAAATTTCTTGTTAAACCAAAACACCATCTTAGTTGAAAACCATCTGTACTTCACAAACTGTGTTAAGTTGAATTGATGTTGGCAGACCTAATGTTAGTCAGGAACTGGGTGTACTCTGCATTCCTAAATGGAAAGATAAGACTTTATAACATCTTTGTTTTGGTTTTAGGGGCTGAAGATGAAATATCATTTGATCCTGATGATATCATCACCAATGTGGAAATGGTGAGTTGTTTCATGAGTGGTGATGTCTTTTTTTTAAATTTTCCATCATATGTTCATATAGCAATACTGTATGTGCATGATGATTCTTAGTCCTTTAATATTTATCCTACTTGCATAGGACAACTGTGCGATTGAGCTGGTGTACCTGAGTAATAACAAGATGTGAATGTGGTTCTGTCCTTGGATTTCATTCAGATTGATGAAGGCTGGTGGCGGGGCTACTGCCATGGCCAGTATGGATTATTCCCAGCCAACTATGTCCAGCTGCAGCAGTGATGATCACGTCCACAGCATAGCAGAGTTCAACTGTGATACAAAGTACTTAAGAGCTTCCAGCAGTGCACATCTCTTATGTGGAGAGTTGGTGGAAATTTTTTAATAAACAATTTTTTATGTCATGGTGCTGTACATATTTTTATGTGTCTGGGATGCCTTTGTGTGCCGTGACTTGTAAAGAATCATTGTTTGAGTCATGAATACTGCTCACAGAACGGTTCAGGCTGATCTGTCAAGGCCACAACTTGAGAACTGCAAGTAGTCAGCTAACTGCTGATGGCTTCTTTCCTCTAATCATCCCCTCTGATATTAATTTAATCTGATTTCTCTTCAAAGCATATGAATGTAAAAATTGCTAATCAAACTATTAAGAATTATAAACCAGATGTCTAAACGATTGTTAGTTTTTAGGCTGCAAGTATATAAATTAAGGTCACTTAGCGTATCAGCATCATCTTGCTGTAGTGATTCATGGAAACTAAGAACTGACAGGAGATGGTACAGTCTTTTAGACCATAAAAGAAATTAAATTATGAGAGAAATACAAATTCCACAAATAAAAGGATTTATAGACCAATATTGAAGAAACTGGAATAAATGTGTTCACAGGATGTGATGTGGCAGGATTTAAAAAAATGGAAAATATTAATCAAAAAGAAAAATAAGTTTGGTAAAATCTCAGAAATGATAGCTTCTGTTCTGTGTTATCTTTAATAGGTCTTAATAGCCTAATACTGAAAATAATGAAGTACATAATGGTTTTCTGGGTTGTGACACCGTGCAGTCTTATAGGTGGATACCAACTTTTTGGCGGAACACACTGTTAGGGTTGATCACAGTGTCGTCCCAGAACAAGGTAAAATCTGTAGTAAACTCTTAAATGTTGTGGTGTTGGTAACATATGTGAGAACCTCATTTCTCACAGTGAAAGGGTTATTGATATGGCTGTTTCATATATGATTAATATTCTTTATTTTAAAGATTCTGGTATGTACTGTTAATATAGTACAATGTAAGTTTTAGAAGTGGTAAAAAAATAAGTTGTATATGGATGTTTGGTATTTGATATAGTCAAAACATAAACATTTTATTGCAATTATAAGCCACTCTTTTTTTACTACATGAAAATGGTCTTCTGTATTGCTGCCATAATATACACTTTTTTGTAGTTGAAATTGTACCTAATTTCATAATTTTTAGGGGCACTATGCTACAAGCCAGAAGGTCACGGGTTCAAGTCCTGATGAGGTCATTGGATATTTTCAATTGACCTAATCCTTCCAGCCACACTATGGCACTGGGGTCAACTCAGCCTCTAACAGAAATGAGTACCAGGAATATTCTTGGGGGTAAAGGGCGGCTGGTGCGTAAGGCTGACAACCTTGCTGCCATGTATGAGCTGATTGTCTAGAAAATGTGGGAACCTCAACATCTCACAACCCTATGGGCCTCCACGGCCTGTTACAGGGATACCCTTACTTTACTTACTTTATATTCATAATTTTTATGTGGTGTTTTTCTTAAAAATGATTACATTTAATTACTAATTTTAATTGCATCTCATTTAACTTGTTTTTTTTTGTTATGAAGTACTAGTTTTATAGTTTCTGCACTGGTTGCAGAAACTGCATTATTGAATAAGCTTGAAATAAAATTTTAATATTATAGGAAAATACTAATCATGTGGTGCTGACCATCTTAAATCATCAAGAAGTACATGATATGGAGAGAAAAAAGTGAATCACCACACAAGCTGTTGATTCCATCTATAGTCAGTTCATGCAATTTACATTGTCCTACTGATTTTAATATTATCCTGCCATTTCTAGGTTATGAGCACAGTAACTGTTCTATTTCCACAATGGTATTCAGGCCAGCTCTGGATGGAGAAAGCTTGCTCAATCAGTAACTTCATTGAGCTGAGCCCTTCTTGAGAACCAGCCAATTGTGCAGCTACTCAAGAACTTCCCACATATTATGGAACCTGTAGGTTCATTACCATTTTCACAAGAGCCCTCCACCAGTTCCTATCCTGAGCCAGATTGATCCAGTCCATACCACCCCATCTTATCTCACTAAGATACATTTTAATATTGTTCACCTGCCTTCCTAGTGGTCTCTTTCCTTCTGGCTTTCCCACCAAAATCCTATATCCATTCCTCTTCTTCCCCAGTCATGTTACATGCCCTGCCCATCTCATCTTCCTTAACCTAATCATTTTAATTATGTTTGGTGAGGAGTACATATTATGAAGCTCTTCATTGTACAGTTTTCTCTAGTCTTACGTCACTTCATTTCTGCATGGTCCAAATATTCTCCTCAGCACCCTGTTCTCAAGCATTCTCAGTCTATGTTCCTCAATCAGTAACACAGAATTTCTCAGTAAGATTTGATCTGGGACACCAATATACTGATTGAGATTTTTCATAGTTTTCCCCAGTGCATTTAGGCACTGGGATAACACCTAAAATTAAGCCATGACCACTTCCTTCCACATTTTTCCGATTCATTTACTAATCGTTTAGTAATTCGAGGCTGTGTAGTATAACTAACAATGCTGTTAAATAAACTACATACAGACAGATCAGCTCTGGGTTCCACCCAGCCTCTTATCCAGTAGGTAACAGGGGCTTTTTCCCTAGGCATAACGTGGCCAGGACATATTACCTGCATCTAGTGTCAAGGTGCAAGGAGCTATACATCCACTCCCTCATACACAGTGTGTCCAGGTTCTGTTAGGACTGTGTTCATTAAAAATACAAGACTTGAATTATTTTCAAAATTTCACTCATTTTATTCAAAAGAGTCTCCTTTTGAATCAATTGAAAAGTTTTCTAAAACAGTCACTGTACTCCTTTTATGAAATCGCATTTAAAACTGCGGTACATTTCCTTTGGATGTCCTGGATGGTGTCGTGACGGTCTCTTTTCATCGCTAACTTAACTTTTGGGAACAACCAGAAATCTGATGGAGCCAAATCTGGCGAATACAGATGATGATCAAGGACTGTGATCCCTTTTCTGACCAAAACGTCACACACGATCTTCAATTTGTGGGGTAGGGCATTGTCGTGGAGGGGTGACCAGGAACCTTGCTCTCAATATTCAAGTCGAATTCGAAGAATTTTCGCCCATAAATAATTGAGGACTCAAAGATGATAATCAGAATTCGCTGTGTGACCTTCTGACAGAAATTCCTTGTGAATGATTCCTTTGGAATCGAAGAAAAAGGTTAGCACTGTCTTTACTAGACTCTTTTGCATGCGTACTTTCTTTGGTTTTGGCTTCTTTGGGCTCAGCCACGCTGCACTCTGCCGCTTTGTGAGAGGCTCATTTTGAAAACACCATGTATCGTCACCAGTAACAATCGATTTTGTAAATTTTGTATCACTTTGGGCCGACCGTAACATGTCTTTGCAGTGTTCCACTCTGGCATGTTTTTCGTTGCCTGACAGCATGTGCTATACGAACTGTGCACAGACCTTCCGTTTGCCCAAATCCTCGGTCAAAATTTGATGCACAGTACTTTTTGGTATTCCCAAAAGCTCCTTGATGAGTTTTGCAGAAACACATCTGCCTGATGGAAGGATTTTGGTCACTTTTTTCAAATTTTCTTCAGTGTGACTTGTTCTCCGCTTTGATGCACATGGAGTGTCTTCAGTGTCCTCCCTGTCGTCACGAAATACAGCATAGCATCGAAAAATGTTTGGGTGACTCAAACAATCACTACCGTACACACTTTTCATCATTTTGTATGCTTCTCTGGCTGTTTTGCCTAACTTCAAACAAAATTTGATGTTGGCTCTCTGTTCAACCGCCATTTTCCGACAAGTGTCAGAGCACATGATGCAGCGATTTGAAATTATAGACAGCCACAGCTGAAACTTCAAGAATTTTAACGGATCCTGGACACACCATGTACATATTCTTGTTGTGGTGTTTAATTAAGCATGGGAAAAACTTTATTCTGTCACCTATAGATTAGATTTTTTATGGCCTTTCATGAGATTTTTGTGCAAGAAAAATATATATATTTTGTGTTTCCCTTATTTGTATTATGCATCCTGCCTGTTTCAGTCTACTTTGAATAATCATCCTAACAATACTAATTTAAGAGTATAAATTATGAAATTAGCTGAGTGGTAACGTGCCTTAACTGACCTGTGGGAGGAATGCCATCCAGAACCTGGCTCAGGATTGTCTATCCTGACAAGTTTTTCTCTGGATTTCCAATTATAGCAGAAAAGTGCTCTAATAATTTAAAATAGGCAACTACAGTTGCCTATGACATCTCACCAGATTCACAAGCAATCATATTTTCTACTACATATGCGCACCATCTGATGCAGTGTCATAATGTAAAAAATAATTTATGAAACGCCTTGTTCTTCAACATTTCCACTTCTGGCAACAAATCATGTCCATGTGACCTAATCTTTCTCTCAGATGACTTACTTTTAGTTAGTTATTTATTGGAGAGGGTGGGTTTCCCCATGCACTTAGACCTGTATTGGTCCATTGTGCTTCTCTCTATGATTTCTACCAGTCTCTATATCCTACTGGTACTGGTGCTTACCATCAGTCCTGCCCAGCCAGCAAGACCGGCTCTACTAGCTGAGAGGTATCTATAATGCTTCCCCCATCTACCAGAGTTATTAGAGACTGCTGTTGGGCGGGAAACGTCTGTAATTTGGCTCAGTGACCTCCTTTGGAGATATGAGGTTCTTTTACGTGCCGTAAAGCTACGACATGGGACCCACAGCTTAAAGTCCCTCCCGGAGGACTTGTTCCCTGAATTTTTCGGCCTAAAAAATTCGACGACCTCCGCCGGGTATTTGAACCCGCGTACTACGAGTCATGAGGTGGGAATGTTACCTCTAGACTACGGAGGCCGCTATGACTTACTTTTAGTTTCATGTTTAAAACCTTCTTTGGGATTCTCTCTTTGTTCTTTCTTAAAACATTTCCATACCATTATTAAGTAAACTTGAAATTTTCTCTAATTCTGTTTCTTACTGTCTCTTCTGGTTTCTCCTACTTTACTCCTTACTGTAGGTCAGCCCAGTTGCCCACTAAAATCTGCCTATGCCCACAATTTTGCTACATACATTAAAATGGGCAAAGAGTGACTTCTGAATACACATTTTTCCTGTCTTTGGCATTTTCCACTTCTGAAGTATATCCCTAACTAGTAAAATTATTTTTAGTTTTTATTCTTTGTGTAATTTCTTCTTGGACTTTTCAGTTTGTCTTTTTATGTCCTTAAAATCTCCAATTTCTTTATTGCATAATTATTACATTTTATCCGATTCCTCATGTCTTCTGTCTTACTTCTATAAACGTCTACTTATCTTGATTGACCTTTAATCCAAAATCCTCCACCTCAAATTCCTTTGTTCTGTATAGCAATTATTTATAATTTAAACTGATTTTAAATTACTGCTTTTAACTTATCAGTTTTCTTACAGTTTCAAACTTTGTATAGAAACCCACAAAAAATGACATTTTACCCTGAAGGTACACACAAAGAGAGGGTCCAGTGTAAATGCAGTTGCCTTGTTAT